AAAAAAAAGGAAAGTAAAAAGAGCCAACTGTAAAATATCATACTTCGTAAGCTGAGATGATCAGCTGGAGAATGTTTCCAGAGTCCTTCTGAAGTAGCCCTACTGTAGCTCCAGGAATGAGTTTTGCATAATTCTGTAAACAAAAAAGAATAAGTCAATCTGTTCACTGTGATCAAGAAACACTACCTGTGGGTTTCAACCTGCTGGTTGAGATCACTTCTATTTAACTGGCCAGGGGAAACAGGATCCTGGTGATAAATGAGTGTTTCTCCTGAAACTGTAGTCCTGCCTGATGCTGCTTCCTGCATGCAAGTAGGAACTAGACTGCCATTGGGGATATCAAGTGTCTGTGGTTGCCTTTGTCTAGAGCTGTGATTTATGTCACAACTGGAGTCAAGTCTCAAATAATAATAGCACTTATATACCATCTTCCATTTGCAGAACATCCTTTGTCCAAAATATTACGAGCATACTGCCAGGAGTTTTCTTCTCTTTTTGTAATGTTATGGAAACTTTCTCTGCCATCAGGTGCTCTCCAAGTCATTCAGCCCAAGGGTCTTAATTGTCAGTTGTTTGGTGGAGAAAAGGAGTGAGTTATGTGGATGCTTGCTGTTAACCCCCTTTCCTAGCAGTAACGAGCACTCTTTTAGGGATGTCACCACGGTGCTGGGGTTGACTGGAACTGAGTCCCCACTCATCATGACTGACTCAGTCAGAACCTATCTCTAAACCATCTGCATTCTGCACTTACATCCCTCTCTGAGATGTCATTCCCACCTGAGGAGAACTCACAACATTAGTTTATTCACACTCTAGATATCAATCATGACCAGGGAAATGAGGCATTGCAAGGAAGGGAATTTTCCAGACTGCTGAAAATTACCCCTCCCTTAAGTTTTATGTTTTAATACTTATTTTCAAATGAAAAGTTTCCTGAAGTGTATGGTGCACATATCTGTCTTCCTAAGAAAGATTCCCAAGCACACCTGGACTTTTTTCTTGAAGAAACAGCCTTACTTATCAATATGAGTTATAGGTCTATAATCAAAGACTTCTAAAATCCACGGATAGATCACACTCATACCAAGTGGACCCCAACTGCGATGCTTTTTGCTTCTTTTATTTGTTTTTAAATAGTTTCTATCTTCTCCTTGTTAAGCTGTAAGGTATCACTCACCTACCAATTTTCTCATTTATTCATTTACTGTTGCATTCAACAATGTCTATTAAGCCGGCTTAATATGCTGTGCTACGTCAGGAAGAGACAATCACTCTTTTTGTCAGCTGTGGTCTTCTGAGTTGCTGTGTGTTGTGAAATCAGATGACTGAATTTATTAAAAGTGTATGTAGAAATAGAAAGTAAGTTTTGGCTGGAGGATTTAGGGCACCTCCTCTTCGTTCAAACATAATGCTATTCTGTCTTATTCCAAAGAAGATTTAAGTAGCTTAAAACATGTACAAAAATAAGTGAAAATTAGTAATAATTATTGATTATGATCGTGATGCTATATCAGTGGATCAGATCGAGGCGAGCCAAGGGGAGGAACAAATGAAGCGGGGTGACTTTAGAACACCAACATGTTCTAGGAGGTACTTGCTAGAGGTGGGTACCTGGGTTAAGTTCAGGTTTTCTACACCTCCAGGATGGAAAAACGGATGCTGCTTTTAATTGGTGGGTTCTGTAATATTCCACTTCTTTCCATGTTCCTGATTGTGTTTAAGTTTGAAGTTGATGGAAATCTGAATTCTTAAAAGTGGCAGTTGTGATTCTGCCTTGACCCTGAGTTTTATTATCGAAGGGGTCATGGACAGTAAACCAGGGAGGAACATTACTCCTATTACCCAGTGCCCCACATCACTGCCTATTGAAGGTGGGCCCCACTCTGTTTCCCTGAGTCAGGTAGAACTTGTCAAATATGAGAAAGGCACCGGTTCATTGACTTACCTTTTCAAATAAACACATGTCAAAAGGGCTGTGAAGCATGAGACCTGTGGTTAACAGTGAATACCTAAATAGGAACTTGAATTTCACTCAAGTGGAGCTGGAATGTGTGTAAATTTGACTGGTCCCAAAAGAGAAGGCAAAGGAAAACTTTAAAGCTTGACAAAGAAAGGTTTAGATCTTTTCAAAAAAGAATTTCAAGGCTCTTAGCTTTGCATACAACTGCTAGCCTTGAAAAATGTCCTGGTTTCTCCAAGGCCAAGGTATAAAGGGTACTGTCCACAAGCACTAGTTCAAGTGGCCTCTAGATTTTGGGTTAATTCTTGGTTAACACAGCCAAATCCATCTACTTCCCAAAGCATAATTATGATCCTGCATGTGGTATGACGTTTGGCGTTTGGCTATTAGGACAAGTGGTTTAACATTAATTGCATTTGCTGATTGCTACCAGAGCGAGGGTATAAAGGAGTTGGCAGCTAGAGGCAGCACCCTGTGATAACACTGACAATTGTGTAGAGGAAAACTAGTAATTAATTTCTGGATGCTGATTCCTCCCAAAAGCATTGCAAATAATTAACTAAAAACATGGACAATTTGGCTTCCTGATCTAACACTGTAAAAAATTATACTTTAAATCTTGTAGTATTATGATTACTGTAAATATCGTGTGTCAAACGTCTTTCTTTCATTAAAGCCCTAAAGTGCTATTATAAATTGTTCTTATTAAACATGTTTAATGTTAGAAAAAGGATGATTTTGCATGCCTGGATGTGATAAATTATAGCACTGTGACTGTAAAGGATAACTCTTGGATATAAGAAATGGTGAACTCTAAAAACACGATGTTTCATGAGCTAATTAGAAATGCCAGCTTCTTGGGCTTGAATTTCTTGGGCTTCAATTCCCTGTTATCTGCCCATGGGTTATCCTAATTATGGACTTTCTCCCTCTCCCACCACCATGCCACCCAGGAGTTCCTGAGGTTGCTTTTCTCATTCATGTTTGCAAAGTTGGCTTTTCCTGATTGCCTTAGTTTTCTTAACTTCCTTCATCAAACCCTATTTATTTGCTCACTGTGCCCCCACAGTGATTTCTTATTTGTCCCACGGTCTGTTTTTGCTCCTTAGAAATCTCCGCCTTGTCAAGGATGGAGGCTAAGAAGTGGACAGGGGGTGATTTAGTGGGCAGGCAACAAAAGATACAGAGGAAAATTCTTAAATTCACACATGTGCACCTGGGCTCCTCTCGGGGAGTGTCTTCAAGGTCAGTGCTTCTCGGTGTCTGGCTGCTAGAACCAGCTGTCACATGCATACCCCTACACACCTGCCACCCCAGCTATCCATGGTCAGACTACTGGTTGGCTCTTTCTTCAAAGACACTCAGACTAAGGACCTTGGCAGATACTTGGCTGCCTTTGGTGCTAGAAGGGGCATTACTGATGTGATCTTCATTCTTGCATTGACTGAACTTCCTGCTGGGTTCACTCATCTCCAGGTTTAGGTTCTGGGACATGGTTTAGTATTAACTGTATCCTAGCTGGACATCTTGATTGGGTTTCTGCCTTGGACCCTTCTGTCCTACTACTGTGACATTCCTGCTGTGGTCTCAAATATTCTTCACCACCTGAGACTCATAAGCCACCATTTTATATAGACCACACTACTCATGCCCCTCATCAGAGGTGGGAAGCTAGACTTGCCATATATCTGCTAGCAGCATTTTAATAAAAAATCTGTAAGACCAAATTCTTCTCTCTTTAGGCTCTATGCTTGCTTAACTCTTTCTGTGAAGCCTCATTGATATGGAGGGACTTTATGCTCAGCACTGATCGTTTTCAATATTATATTATTAATCAACATCAGTATTTATGACCTTAAATGATATTTACTGAATGTTTTTTGTTTGCTAAAATACATTTAGTAAAAGTTTGGCTTATATAGATTGAGAACCTATGATGTTATAGAATGTGTCCACAAATATTTTCTCTAATATCTCACTGTATATACATAGTCATTACCTAGTATATCTTCAATTAGTAGCTTCTATTCATCCATTTTCTCTCTCAGAAAATTTAACGGCAGTATAACACACATGCACAGCATACAAGTAATAAGTATACAATTCAATGGGTATTTTAAATGTAAACAAGCAGGTGTAACCACCCCAAGATCAAGAGGTAGAGAGTAATCAGCCCCCTGAATCCTCCCTTGCACTGCTTCTCAGTCATTCCCCTCCCTTAGAAGCCTAACTACTATTCTGACTTTTATTACTATAGAAGTCAGGAGAGATATCTTCATTGCCTTAAGGGTAACAAAAATGTCTTAAGTAGGACACAAAAGCACTATCTATAAAAAGGAAAAGATTGATAAATAGGACTTAAACTTAGGAATTTCCACTGTGAAAGGATGCCTTTACGAGAGTAAAAGGGAGTCACTGAGTGGGAGAAAATACATGTAATACATGCATCTGATCTGGCACCAGAATATCCAAACAACTCCTACACATCCACAAGGAAAAGACGTTTGGAAAAAAAAATGGACGTGCAAGTGGCCGAAGAGTACGGCAAATTGTTCACCATCATTAATCATTAGAGAAACAGAAATTGAAACCAAAAAGAGATGCCAGCGTGCGTCTACTAGGAGGGCTACGATTTAAAAAACTGATGATGTGGGGCGCCTGGGTGGCTCAGTCGGTTGAGCGTCCAACTTCGGCTCAGGTCATGATCTCACAGTTTGTGGGTTCCAGCCCCGCGTCGGGCTCTGTGCTGTTGGCTCAGAGCCCGGAGCCTGTTTCAATTCTGTGTCTCCCTCTCTCTCTGCCCCTTCCCCGCTCATGATCTGTCTCTCTCTGTCTCTCAAAAATGAATAAACGTTAAAAAATTAAAAAAAAAAAAACTGATGATGCTCTCAACTACTTGCTGGGGGAGTCTACACTGGTACAACTACTTGGCAGAACTGGCAGTAGCTGCTAATGCTGAACATGAGCTCATCCAGTGACCCAGCCATTCCACTCCTGGGTGTAACCCCCAACAGAGATGAACCCGCAACGTATGACTGCTCTGAGACAAACAAATGCACAGAGAGGCATTCATTCTTACTGCCAAGAGGGTGCTTCTGGTCATCAAGATGTCACTTAAATTGGAGAAAGTACAGATAATTCTTGAAGGGTCTCAGATCATTCAGGGATTTGGC